GCAGGCCTGGCAGAGCGCGCGGCTGGCCAGCGCCCCGCAGCGGGAGCAGGCGCCGGGGGGCGGCGGCCGCGCGGCCGGGGCCAGGGCCAGGCGCTCGGCCGAGTGCACCAGGTCCAGCGCCGCCGACGGCCGCGCCGCCTCCAGGAGCTTGAGCAGGTGGCGCGCGTGGCCGCGGAAGGCCTCGGGCGCGTAGACGCACTCCTCGGAGAAGTAGTCGAGGCGGCGGAAGTGCGCGTACAGCACCACCTCCTTCTGCGAGGCCAGCTGCAGGGGGCGGCAGCGCGGCAGGGCGCCCCCCTCGCCCCGCGAGCCCAGGCCCCCGCCCCGGGCCAGCCGCCCCGCGTCGCCCCGCAGGAAGTTCATGAGCACGGTCTCCGCCATGTCGTCGGCGTTGTGGCCTGGGGGAGAGAGGGAGAGCAGGTGAGGTGGGGGCGCCACCGTGGGGCAGCCAGGACCCAGCCAGACGGGGAGGGGCCTGCAGAGTGGCACCGAGTGTGCCACCCGGCCAGGGAGACCCCACCTCCAGGACCCAGAGAGAGATGGGGAGGGGATGGAAAGTGGCAGAGTAGGTGACCAGGCCTTGGAGGCCTCACACCCCAGACCCTGTGGGGCAGCCAGGACCCAGAGAGAGGCAGAGGGGGTGTTGGGGAACAGCAGGGAGGGCCACACCGGGCCATGGAGACCTCTGGGCACCACGGGACAGCCAGGTGGAGGCTGGAGGTGGTCACAGTGAGAAACAAGAGGAGAACACACACAGACTTCCGGGGAGCAACTCGGGGTGCCCTCATTTGCCACCCACTCATGGCCAACCAGGCCCTGTGCTAGTTGCCTTTTCACGAAGGTAGTAAAAGTGCTTTACGCTACAAGTACCATTTCAGTCTCAGAAGTGTGCTTCCTACTGCACAGAAGTCAAAATGGCATTTAACCGTTAATGGAGATTCTCAAGCGAGCTCTTGTCTCAGTGCCTCTGGGAATGCAGATCACCGAATTTAGAAAGACCAGGGAGGAAGTAAGGGAATATTTACACAACAATCACCATAAAAACATAAGCTAAATCTCTACTTATTCTGCATCTTGTCATCTTATACTTGAGTCTGTATAGTCCAGACAGTAAAACACTGGTCTTCTTAGGGCTTCTCCAATTGGCCATACTAACCCTCCTCAGGGCCTTTGTATAAGCTCTTTCCTCTGCTCAGAACCCGACCCTCTGTCCGACCTTCACTGGTTACTTGGGTGGCCTTCAGGTCTTCGCTCACTCTGGAAATGCTTCCTAACCCCTACTCTTCTCCCTTCACTGGGTGCTCCAGCTATAAACTGGCAAAGTGTGATTTTCTTTAGTAGCACTTCTCAGGTTATAATTATGCATGTGAGAGAAGAGCAGGAACAGAGACTGTCTTGTGTGTCATCACGATGGCAAACGTTTCTGTAATGCCTACGGTTTCCAGTCTCTGGTCTAAGTGCCTCACACATAACTCATCTAATTCCCAACAACCCTGGGACCTCGATATTATTAATAAGCCCATTTTACAGAAGAGGTAACTGAGGTTAGGTAATGCTCTGGGCTACGTAGCTTGTATCTGGTACGCAGTAAATGGTCAAGGATTATGTGTGGAAGTAATGACCGGGAGAGAATAAGGGTTAGCAGAGAGGAGAGGCCGACAGAGAAAAGCAGCTCAAAGATAGTTGCGTTTCAGACTACAGTTGGCTTCTGATGGGTGGTACCACTTCACTCGCCTCCTTTTGTGAGGGGAGACACAAAGAATGTCATTTTTTAAAATGCAGGGAACCACAGCCCCCAGAGAGTACCCCTCCACCCCTCTAGCTGCCAGTGTGATGGCAGTGACTCAAAAGCATGCAGCGCCCATCCCAGGCATGCACGCGTACTGTGCCCGTACTTCACACGTACTTCAGCGGGCATGCATATCCCCTTCTCCTCGTGGACAGCCTCCACCCAGGGCACACCCAGCGTCTCCTTCACCACTTCTTGGCCCCGGGCCCAGGCCCTTCAGGTGCCGGCCCCTCGCCCCTCGGCTGCAGTGCCTGCGCTCACCCGTCACGATGTGCGTGGCTCCCACGAGGCGCGCCCCTTCCTCCAGCGCGCGGCGCCGCAGCACCCCGCAGAAGGTGCAGCAGGCGCGGCTGCGGCCGGAGCCGGCCGTGCTGCGGGCCACGGCGTCCATCGTCCAGCCCCCGAAGAGGTCTGCGTAGGCCACGACGGTGAGCGGGAGGTCCCAGCGCGCCGCCTGGCGTCGCACGGCCGCCAGCGCCGCGTCGCGGTAGCCGCTGATGCCCTCGTCCACGGCCACCAGGCGCAGCGAGACGCCCAGGCGCGGCGCTAGTTCGCGCAGCACGTGCGCCAGCACCGTGGAGTCCTTGCCGCCGGAGGCCCCCACGGCCACCACCGCGCCGGGCGGCAGCAGGCGGCCCGCCAGCACCGTGTGCAGCACCTCGGCCTCGAAGGCGGTGCAGAAGCAGGCCCCGCACAGCGCTTGGCCGGAGCGCGGGCGGCGGAGGGCAGCGCGCGCCGCGTGGCAGGAGACGCACTGCGGGGCGGGCATCGCGGGTTCCGGGCGGGCCGGGAGGAGTTGGCTTCTCCTGGACAGGGAGAGAGGGGAGGCAGGTTACATACGGATTCTGGTTTGCGGGGGTCGTAGCCTCCGGCGAGGCTGCCAACTACCTCTCCTGCCCAAATTGATCCAGGGCCATGTGCAGGGAGAATATGCTTTTTCTGGACGTTCTGGCTTCAGGAGGCTTCTCGTAATGCACCCCATTGTGCACCAAGTAGAGAAGGAGCCTGAGTTGGTATGGGGGTGGGGTGGGAAAGACAAGCAAGTTACACTCAGAATTAGGTTGTGTCCTGTTTGAGGTGTTGGGGCTGCATATTAAGAAGCAGTGTCACCAGGAAGGCTGTCCCTGTTACAGCCCAAATCAGAGGGACAGGGTGGAGATCTTTGACCTGGACCCCCAGAGCTGTTTAGAGAGCCTGGGAGGGTCAGCAACTCTAAGGAAAGAGAAGGGGTAGGGGACTGCAGCTTTATTCAGGGGAAGGGGGAGAAACGGGAAAGACCAACTGGATTTCACTTTGGGTGGGGGTGGGATACTGTCTCCCGATTGCATCCTCTGCAGAGCAGGGTGATCACCAACTCCAGGGAGACACAGAGGCAGCGTGGATCACATCTCCAAGGACACCAACTGGGGCTGCTTCTGTTTCCCAGGCAGGGTGGATGGGCCTCCAGGATTGGACTCAATTCTGCTCTGGTATCAGAATCTCCCACAAGGTTCTATGGACTTACAAAACGTGGATTAGCCCATCCTTGACCCCTTTCTGTCCTCCCTCCTCCTACCTCGTTCCTCCCCAGCAGAAACTCCAATCCTCCAGCCACATGCCTGGTAAACCCATAAAAATCCACCAGGCTCAGTACCCCCTCCCCAAGCCACCATTGCGTCCAGCCTGGCCTAGTCCAGGAGCCTCTGAGCAGGTCACCCTGCTTCTAGGATTTGCCACAATACGTGGAGTCACCTTATGTGACTTTGTTTACTGTCTGTGACTTTCTGAGGCAGGGCCCATGCCATTCAAATGTCTAATAGGCATCTCAAAACCCAGATTCCTGATTCTTCTTCCCACACTTGCTTCTCCTGCAGTGAAGAGCTGCATCCTTTCAGCTGCTCAGGCCAGAAGCCTTGGGGTCCAGGACCCCAGTCTGTTCTTCCTCCACCACCCTTCTCACTCTCCCCGTGGGTGACTCCAAACTGCAATGTCGAGTCGCAGCCGTTCCTCCACATGTCCCACTGAGGATGCCCCAGAGACATTCTCAGACCTCAAACCCCAAATGCCCAAATGGAAGACAGCAAATCCTGTTTGACTAGCTTCTACGCAGACCCAGAAGCCAACACTTCTCACCATCTGCACGGCTGCCACCCTAGTCTGACCCACCACCTGTTCTCACTTTAGGAAAAGCCAGTGGTCTCCGAGGCTGTGACCTGGCTCCCTTTTTCTCTGACCTTGTCTGCCTCCTCCTCGCTCATGCTGGTCTGTACTCTCCAACACTGCAGGACACACACCTACTGCAAGGTATTCGCACTGGCTCTTCCCTCTGCTCAGAGTACTCTTCCCTGTCACTGGGCCAGCAAGTAGCCCTTAGGAGCCATCAGCCATGACCATCAGGTGCATCTGTCAAGCTCAGCAACGGCCCCTTGAAGTTTTTTCTCTTTTGAGTTGATCTTCCCTCTGCTCTTGTGGTTTATCTCCTGCGGAGTCTCCAATCTCCTTTGGAGAGCCCTCTTCATGGTCCTCAGGTCCTGCCCAGCCCATTCTCCTTGTGGGTGACTCTGCTTGTGATGTCCATCCGGCTGGTCCTCCCAATGCCCCACTGAGGATCCTTTAGAGGCCCTCTCTCAGATCCCAAGTGCCCACACTGGCCAGCCTCCAATCCCCCCCGCCCCCCAGGCAGAAATCTGTTCTTACCCAGCTGTTTCCTGTCTCCTGAGGGCACCACCACCTTCCGCCCAGCTCCTCCACAGGACAGGACATAGTCACCCTGGATTCATCCCTCCTCTTGCCCTAAATCTACAGTCACCCAGTTCTGGGGGTCTGCGTCCTGAAGGAAGAAGACCCTGGCAGGTGTTGAGTCTGTGCAGGTTGTCAGAGACTCATAGGCCAGGATATGGAGTTTGAATTTTATTCAGAGAGGGTTTTGAGCAGGAAAGGGATATGATCTGACTTATGTTTTAAAAGGATCCCATTGACTGCTGTGCGGGGAACATACTTGAGCGGGCAAGAGCAGAGGCAGGGAGCCCAGGGAGGAGGCTATGGCAATAGCCAGTGATAGTCGCAAATGGCCTGGTTGGGGGTGGTGGCAGTGGAGGTGGGAAGGAAGGGTGGGACTCTGGAGCTGTTTTGAAGGTAGAGTCCATAGGACTTGCACAAGACTTGGGATTGTGGTGGGGGCTCAGCTGATGAGAAAAGATGAATGGAGACTGACTTGGAGGTTTTGGCCAGAGCTCCCAGGAAGATGATGGGGCCATTTCATCAGGAAGGCCACAAGGAATTCCATTTAGACATATCAGGTTTGAAATGCCTGCTGAGCATCTTCCTGCAGAAGACTTTATGGATCCGGCCTGGGTCAGGTGCCCCCTCCAGGCTCACAGATCCGCTAGTATGCCTCTATCCCCGCCTGACCACGACTCTACCTGTCAGTGGCAGACCTGTCCCCTTTGGGGTACTAAAGGCAGGGACTGGGTCTGCCTTGTCCACTGCCGTCTCCCCCCAGCCTCGCATACGGCTTGGCACAGTGCCCGCGCTCAGTAAATAACGTACAATGTGGGAATAATAAGTGCCCCCCAGAAGAAGAGACGCGGACCTCCGGATTGCAGCCTTGTCAGAAGGATGATAGTGTGTGACATCCTTCTATCAGAGCAGAGGTTCGAGGACACACTAGGGGCCTCTTGGATGTACCCGATGCTGTGGGGGTGGGCAGGGAGATGGTGGAATCCCTACCTGGCGGAAGGGGTGGGTGGGAAAGAGACAGGATGGACTACAGTGTCCAACGTGGGGATCCTGGCCAGAAGGCCTCTGGGGCACAGCCGTTAGGGAATCCAGGGGGCTAGCGTCACCACTTCCCGAGCCTCTCGACTTCACATGGCATCGCAGTTAAGAACAGGGGCCCACGGGCCCATCCGCTGCAGGAGGAACAACTCACCTGGACAGAACGCGGTACTAGAACGTCCAACGTGCCCCACACGCGGAAGTCTGGCACGGAAGTGGCTCCGGAGACTACAACTCCCACAAGGCTTTGGGGGCCGTCTTGCCTACTGCTCCCAGAACCCCATGCGGCAACTTCGAAGCACCTGAGGCTACTGGGCCTGCTGGGCCGGCTGGGCCTACAACTCCCAACAATCCTTGCGGCCCCTTCTACCGTGTACAGCCCGGTTTCCTTTATGCGCCTGCGCACGAGTTTAGGACTCGGCAGTGCTGCGTGGTTTTTGTTTTTTTGCTTTTTTTTTTCCTGTGGCAGTGCACTGTCACCGTCACCGTGCAGGACACTTAAAAGGCGACGCAGCTGTACTCGGATTATCTGCTTTTGTGGAATTATTATCGGCTTTCTTTTTATTTTATTTTATTTTATTTTATTTATTTGTCATAGAGAGCATAAGCAGGGGCAGTGTCAGGCAGAGGGAGAGGGAGAAGCAGGCTCCCCGCTGAGCAAGGAGTCAGAGCGGGACTGGATCCCAGGACCCTGGGACCATGACCTGAGCGAAAGGCAGATGTTTAACCGACTGAGCCACCCAGGCGCCCCTTATTATAGGCTTTATTTTTTAATTTTTTAAAAAATTATAGGCTTGTAGGGCATTGATTTCTAACCTCGGAGGTGGTCTTGCAGGAAGGAATTGAATGTGGGAGCGCAGTGGCTGCGCTCCAGTGTGAAAGGAGGAGGTTGCGCATGCACAGGGCAGAGAGTCCGAGGGTCGGGGCTGGGAGTGGATCTGTGCGTGCCCTGGGCGGGTGCTCATGAGCATGTCGAATGGGGAGAAGGAGCGGTGTGTGTGAGCCGAGGTCTCTGTGCGTGCTTCAGCTGTTAGTGATTTGGTGGTGGGCGTGTGTGTGTTGGGGGGTGGGTGTCTCTGGACGTGGCTCCTGGCTCTGGATAGTGGGTGACACTGAGATCCACTGTGCAGGTTCCAGCCCGTGAACCGGGTAGTACACATTTCCTCTCACGAGGAGGTGGAGCTGGAGGGTGGAGAGCTGGTAAGAAAGGACGTGGCGGGACCAGGAGACCCCCAGAGACTCCGACTTCCGATCCACAGGCTCAGACCCCAGAAATCCGGTAGTCCTTAGGGCCAGGGCCATGGAGACTTAGAGTTCCAGTAACTCAGAGGCCTGAGACCCAGACCCTCTAGATTTATTACTGAAAAATGCCACACTAAAAAATATACCCAACAAAAGTACTTATTCATATCAAATGCATGTTTGTAGCAGCACTCTTCCTAATCGTTCCAGACTGGAAATAACCCGAATATCCCTCTACTGTAGGAGGTCCGTGTAGTGTATGGCATATGCACACCATGAAATTCTTTCAGCAGTGAGAATAAATGAATTGCTGTTATGTGTGTGGGTGACTCTCACAATAAAATGTCAAGCATAAGAAGCCACGCACTGGAGGATCCCAACTACATAAAAGTCAAAAACAGAGAAAACTAATCAGTGGTGATAGAAGTCATTATAGTGGTTACTTTCCTGGAGGGGAGTAACTAGGACTGGGTGCTGGTGGGGCTTCTTGATCTAGGTGGTTGTTCCAAGAATGTCACCATCATATGAAAATTGATCAAGCTTATCTTTATAATCTGAACTGTTTTCTCTGTATGTTTTGCTTCAATGTCTTTTGCTTTAAGAACAAAATAAGGGCAGGGGCGCCTGGGTGACTCAGTGGGTTAAGCGTGAGACTCTTGGTTTCAGCTCAGGTCATGATCTCATGGGTCCATGGGATCAAGCCCCATGTTGGCCTCCGTGCTCAGCAGGGAGTCTTCTTAAAAGATTCTCACCCTCTCTCTAAAAATAAATAAATCTTTTTTAAAGTAACAATGTAAGTGGATATTTCACTCAAATATATGCTAATTAATTTTAAAATTCAGATGACATATAAAAATTAAAAGAAAAATATAATTTACTGAAACAGTCTCAAGAAGAAATGAAAACCCCAAATAGCCATGTATCCATAAAGAAATTGATTCAGTAGGAAACATCTTTTTCCGGGGGGAAAAAAATTCACTGGCAGGTTCTGAATGTGCAAGGCAGAAATAATACCAATTTTTCATTAACCTTTCCAATATGAAAGACACATCAGCCAGTATGACTTTTGGAAGTCTTTTGCTTTCTCCAGGCTTCACTGAGTCCTGTGGAGTCGGGAAGTGGTACTGGCTGGTCTCCAAGAAGCTCTCCACCCTGGCAACTGTGGGTCTGAAGTTGCACTAATGCATACAATTACTATCCTTTTCATACCCACTGGCTTCCTCTTGTGGTTCACCGTTTTTTTTTTTTGTTTTTTGTTTAAATCATTCTTGCCGTACCGAGAGACCCTCATGACCAGACTGTCCCAGGACAGTGCCTGGCGTTTATGGTTCGAGATAAGTCTCTGCTGCTGGTAGTGCTGCTATAGTGCATGCTGTAGGAAGGTGAATGGACCAGGAGCCAGAGGAGTCTAGGGCAGGGAGTGAGGGTGGAGCCTGAGTCTCTCTTCAGTGGCTTTGGTGCAGGGTCCAGAATATGACTTTGAAGTGCAGAAATTGGGGATATGGATCTCCATCCCCCCAGTTACCTGGGTCAGGACTCCTTGACTTACTCCATATGCCTTCTTTTCTCCACCCCCCAACCCCAAGTCAGTGAGTCCTGTAAGCTTCACCTCCTGAAAATGTCCCAAATTGCTCCCTTCCTCAACCCCTCTTTATCCCATCCTCTCCCCTCCACCCATATGGCCGTGACCATTGCTCCTTCTTCGTCCCCACCTTCCTGGTCTCCAGCGGCTCCCCTCAAGTCTGTGTCCCACAAAGCACAGGCCCAGAAAGGTTTCCCTGCCCCCAGAGCCCACCCCACCTTTTCCCTGCTCAGAGGCCTGAGTGGCTCCCTTGCACCTCGGGGTAAGTTCCTCAGCTCATCCGGTGCAGAAACTTCCCCGCCCTCCCCAGCAGGCTCCAGAGATATTTGCCATTCCTTTCACCCACAAGGCTCAGTGCCTTTGCTTGTCACTCCTCCAACTGAGGAACCTTCCTCCACATGTTACTATGACAGTTCTTCTCCTCCTTCTAGGCTCAGCTCAGCCTCTTTCCCTCCAGGGTCTTTCAGCCACTCTGGACTCCTGGATGTGTGTGTATATGAGCATGGGTCAAATAGTCATGCATCCTTTGCGTCTGAGTGGGAGGTAGGAGAGACACACCTCTCAGTTCCACTATCCCTGTCTACCCCCCAATGGGTCCTGGTCTTTGTGGCCGATAACAACTCCCTGCCAGGGCGCCTGGGTGGCTCAGTTGGTTGGGCGACTGCCTTTGGCTCAGGTCATGATCCTGGAGTCCCGGGATCGAGT